CCCAACCACACCTACTACTTCACCCACCCGGGATTTGTCGTCATCACCACCAGTTTCCCTCCTTTCCACCTTCTTTTCCCGTATCACCAACTCAGTGTCGTTCCGTGGCCGGCCATAGCCCCCTATTGGCCCAATACGTTTTGGGTGAATTTTCGACGTAGCGGCGAATAGAGAACTCCGGAATTCTGAAGGCCCAATCCAAGTACGCGGTGGCCTGCGCCACGTGGCAGCCCTCGACGGCCTAACTGTTCAGGACCACATCCACCACGGAGGGACTTCCCCGTAAGTCGTCGCCCACAGTGCCCGGGCGCCATCGGGCCTTGAGTCCCTTGCACACGCACCCCTCATTCACTTAATTGCATTCATACCCTTAGGACTCCCCCACTTTTCCCAAAAATCCTTGGCACACCTCTTTTCGCACTTCTAGGCCCACAACCCACTCCGAACAGGAAGTCGCGTTGGGCGTGAGGTTGGTATCGGAGCCCGACACGTGGCTAGGGTCTTAGGATTGATAGCACGTTAATTAGGCGACCTGGCTAACCGTGGGCGACCTCTTCCCCGGAACGCGCATAGACGCGACCCCATCGTCACCAGAAGCAGATCGGCTAACCGACGAGCGACCAATATGGCTGCTAATGTGCAGAATCCGGTTTCGCAACGCAATGCTAATCCACCCAATCAACCCGCCCCACGTGCACGAGCTCCCATGTCGCCACCAGATCTCTATTTATTTGACCTGGCACACCATCTCGCAGGAGCATGGCTAGCCACGCTTAGAGCACATCAGTATGATGATCACGAAGCACAGATCAACATTCCGGCTCGAATGGGAGGAGACGCTCATCATTGGTATAGTACCTATGCATGGGATCTCCCGGCCCTCGAACGAGATTTCATGAACCGATTTGATTATGTCCACCCTCAGCAAGCGCTCTACATGATCAAGGACCGAGTGCAAAAACCGCTCGACTCCGTTGCGGAATATCGAAACCGGTTCTACAGAATGTTTGTAAAAATTGAGCGAGGTGAGCAAGTAGGGAGAGATCTGTTCATTGACGGACTTCGCAGCCAGATAATAAGGGCCAAATTGCGTAAGCAATTTTCCCCCATCACTCATACGCTACAACAAATTATGGCTGCTGCGGAAGAAATGAAACGAAAGTTCGCGGCGAACTTCCTGGGAGGAGAAGACTACCCTAGAGACGGAGATTTGACCGAGCTCACACGAGCGAGAGCAAAGCTGGCTGCTTTGCAGAAAAAATTTGAAAACATGGGATTTGTATCAGGACCTTTCACCTATATGGATCAGATAGGCCCCAAACGAGTAATCCTAAGCGAGACTCCGAGCATCTCTGCTCCTATGATGCCCCCGCCTGTCAGGGCATTACTTCCGCCGCCGGTTGAGGCTCCCGTACGATCGAACGAATCAGCGGCCATTTTCGAACTAACCAAAACCTTGATTAGTTTGATCCAAGAAAGCAAAAAGGAGAAGCGAGAGCACAATGCTCGGTTGGAAGCCATGATGAGGAACATGCGACCCATTGCAGTGCGCGCCCCTCCGATGCAGCAAGGATTGGCCCCGGCCCCTGCGCTTAGAGGAGTCGCAAATAATCTGAATGTCTGTTATGCCTGTCATCAACCCGGACATCTAGCCCGTGATTGCCCCCACCGACCCCCACAACAGCGAATTGGAGCCGCACCTATGGCTGCGACTCCCATCGCCAACGGACCTGGACGAGTCGAAGCCTTGATGGAAGAAGTAGAGGGTGGGGGGAGTGCCCTGGCTAACTCGGAAGAGGCCGCCGAACTAATCCCGCTAGATCAGTACGTGTCGCTGGGATATCCCGGGCTCGGCATGATCGGAACCATCAGACCAGCACCTGAACCGAAAGAGGTGGCGGAGTGGCGACCGTCCCTAGGAGAAATGGAGTCGGGAGGACCCACCTTCGTCACAGGGGAGATCGATGTATTAAACATCGTCTGAGCCTTGGATCATCAGATTCCCCTTCCAATCGGTCATCTACTCTCGATCTCCGAGCAAGCCAACAAGTGAATGTTACAGCATTGCAAAGCGAATCGAAAGCAATTCGCCCTCGCCCGAGCACTGAACGTAAAAGCCAAAGGTCCCGCCCCGGAAGAAAACCCCGCAAGCACTTCGGATCCGATCCGGGTAGGTTTAAACCAGAAAGACGATCATTTCCTGCGGATTAAACCAATTCCGTGGAAAACTTTTTTTTTTTTTTTTTTTTTTTAAATTGAAATCATCCCTCCAGTGCTAGCAGTGCTGGTAAGAGCAGACACCGCTAGCACCAGGGGATAGGCTCCATCTATTGGTGGGGAGCGTCACCTGCTGGAAAACGGGTCCAGCGCGCAGTGCGATATGGAAATTTGGGGAATTCCTTACAACGCAATTATAGACTCGGGAGCAGCTGTGTTAGCTATCTCACTGAGAGTGGTCGAAAGGGCAGGCAGGAAAAACGATCTGATCATGCTTTCTGAGAAAGATCAGTTCATTTCGGTTGACGAAGAAAGAATTAAAACTGTGGGAAGAATGACCAATGTCGCTTTTCGATTGGGTAAAGTGCACGCGCTTGGGGATGCCGTAGTACTAGATGTCAATACGTACGACGTTCTTTTCGGACTTCCCGCCCTTGTGGCGTTACGAGCGAACCTGGACTTCGAACGACGATCGATCATCCTCCGAAATACAGGGGGGAAACCCTACGCTGTGCCCATGCGATTGACCCTCTGTACTACCATTAACACGGTCCCTCGGGTTTCACCGATGATGGCAGGGACTCTCCGCATGGTTTCCTGGAATGGATCCGCAGAGGGAAATTCATCAGCGAATGATGCGGACAGCAGTGACGAAGATGATCCGGAGATCTTGAAACTAGCGCGACAACGCGTGTAATACGCGCCGCCCAAAACGATAGTGAGAACGATGCAGCTGACCAACCGAAAAATTCAAAGGACCAAGGCGATGATTTTAGGAGATCCCCTCGTACAAATTTCGAGGATGATCGATTCTTTGGAACCACCTCAAACTCTGTACGAAGGAATCATCCCTCTCCTCGCCTGGTACAGCGACAAGAAGCATTACTGTGATATTACCGATCTACCCAAGTCCTTACTAACATCGGCTAAAGAAGTAAGATTGTTACACTTGGGGGCGGAAGCAAGCTCTCTGGAACCCCCTGGGCGTTTCGAAGCAGAAACAGACGGACTGGGGATAAAGATCGCAACCAAGGAAGTGCCATGGCGGGATGTTTGTGACGGGATTACCCAGGAAGGACACGTGACCATCCGGGAAGAAGATGCCCAGATGATGGCCACGGTGTTCTCCTTGCGATCGGACCATTCATTCATCTCAGCGCCTCCACCTGACTTGGCAAAACAAACGAGCACGAAACAGATTGTGGGACTGCAAGAGTACGACTTCGATATCGTCCACCAGAAGACAGAGCGACACGGCAACGCGGACGGACTGACACGTCTGCATCCACCTGCCAAGGTACCAAAGGGCGAGGAAATTACACCGTGGAAAGAGCCAGATTTGACCAACGAGCCGAAATACGGATAAGTGGCGGTTCTTCCACGTGGCAAGAAGCAAAACGGTGGCGATGGGTGATGGAGGTAACCCCACTACCCCTCTCCTCTCCCTGCTTGACAAATTTTACTATTTTTGCGAAGCTATCTCCCGCGTATATTTGGTCTCCATGCGTCCTAACGGGGAAGGGTATGCAGATTGGATAGATTGCCAACAGTGTGTCACGCGAGCCCATGGCTCGTGCATCCAATACAGGAACGATAGAAAACCGTGGTTGTGCCCCTTGTGCCGGACCGACAAGATTCCGACCGAGGCTCGCTTTTTGGATGCCACACCAAAAGGGTGGGAAAAGACCCGGAAGTATAGAAGGGCCGAAGTATGGACTGATATTTCCTTAATTGCTACTCTAGTAGGTAACCCCCTCCAGGATTTCACCAAGGAAGATCGGAGGAGGGCCAACGAAAGGGCTCGAGATTATCGGTGGATAGAAGGAAGATTAGAAAAATGGAAAACGGACGGCAGTGGGATTTGGATGGTGGTACCACATCCGTTCATGCGGTATGACTGGGTTAAGACAGCCCACGAGGAAAATGCGGCCCATTTTGCCATACGAATCACGGAGTCCTCCATCGCCAAAAATGAGTGGTATTGGTCTAATATCCGCGACGATATGAAATACATTGTCGCCAACTGTCAAGTCTGCGCCGCTGATAAAGCACCAATTCAGCCACCAAGATCGATAGTGCCCACGGTTGTCGAACGACCATTTCAAAGAGTGAGCATGGACACTACCGACGTAGTGGTGCCCCCTGGCCCTAATAGTTGCCAGTATTCAGTCTTATTGGTATTTGTCGACCATTTCTCGAAATGGATCGAAGCGTATCCTTGTCGCACGCGACAAGCCACGGAGATCGCGCGACATGTCAACCGTTTCCTCGGAATGCATCAGGATACGGAGGAGATCCTAACCGACAACGGGGCTGAATTTAGGGGAGAAGTATTAAAAAATCTGGTCATACATGGCGTCGCCATACGGAACACTGCGCCCCACATGTCACAATCCAATGGGCTGGTTGAAAACGCTAACCGAGTGATAAAGACAGCATTGCGACGAAACATTGAGGCACGGGATCCGAGGCCCCGGCCTGATATCGTCGATCACATCCTGGCGGTCCATTGCGGAACGCCCCACGAATCGACGGGGTTAAGCCCCTTCCAATTAAGGACCAATAGCGTCGCTTGCGTTTCGATACCAAGCCTCCTAGATGAGTCTACATTGAACGGACGGGCCACCAGGGCCACGGCTAGGGACAAGGCCAAACGACACCTAGAGCTAATGGAACGGTCACTGACGAGGCTAGCCCGAAAACGACAGAAAATGACCGAACTAGCCCAAGGATGACAGGTCCGAAGTTACGAGGCCCGAAATGGGAATGCGGGTCCGCGGCCCCAGTACAAATTGGGGGACGTGGTGCAGGTGAGGAAATGTGCTCGCCAGTGTAAGCTAGCGCCACGATTCTTCAGGCGATATTGCGTGATCGAGCTCGGCCCCAACGGCGTGGACACCGTGCGTCTCTCCCCTGAAGTCTCTGGCAGCCGATAGACTCGTCCGATCACACGCCACGTGTCCTATCTTCGCCTCCTCCCCTCTGCTCCTACTCCTTCTCCCTCGATCTTTCTTTCTGAGGAAGCCGACGACGACGGCTCTGACTCTTCGCCATCTCCCTCTTCCTCTTGCTCCCTCTCTGCCACCCCGTCACCTCCGCCATCGCCATGAGCTTCACCATCGAGCGAGCTTTCAGTGATCAGTTGCTGATGCACGGGGAGAGATCTCAACCATCCGCCAAGTGCATCATCCGCGGATCAGCCCCGACTTCATGCGCCTTGCGCAGTTCTTCTGCACCGCGGGTGTATATGGCGCAGCAGAATTTCGATTCACGAGCAATCCCCAAGTGGTGGTGCTGGCCGAGGCAACGGCGTTCCAACGACGAGCGGCCCCGGGAATCAGCCACGTGTCGACCCTGGTAGTCTTCAGCGGCGACATCACCGCCTTCGATCCGGCGCGGCAAGCCGCCATCAAAAGCACCTTGTACCGGTGGGGTCGCGATTTGGCCACTGATTGGGATCGACGACTCACAAGGCACAGTGCTATGTGTTATCCTGTCGACGACATCGAAGTCAACACGTTCCGCACGACGCTGCGCGAGCCACCTGTCGTCCTACCAGAACTTGCTCCCTTCCAACCGTGCAGATGAGCCGTGCACCGATCTCGACGTTCTTTCCTCCGTCTCTCTTCCCCATCTTCTGGCAGTCCTCGCTCTTCCCTTGTCTCTCCTTCCTCCTGGAACCACTGACAGTACCTATCGTTGATCCGGACCGTTGGAGGCTGTGGCGTGCAGAATTCATTGAGCTCTCGTTCTGCCTGCTACGAGTGGATCTGAACTAGATGTGGGAAGGCGATCAAAGCCCCGCATCAGAGTCTGTGGAGTTGTGCGCCATTCAGGCGTGGAGGACCAACGTGGCGGGGGACCTTCTGGGATTCGTCTTTGGAGCAGTGGATCGAGGAAACCGATCACAGATCGTGTGTGAACTTACGATCGTGATTGCGCGACTGGCAGATGAACTCCCCCTTGACATCGTCTCTTAGAGCGACGAAGAACCCGTGCCACATACCCTCTCGAGGACCCTCGCCCCAAGCCTCCAGTGGCCGGCTTGTATCGAGGAGCGTTGGGCGGACGACCGTTTTCCCTCCCGTAGCGAGTAATTGGACGTCCACAGCTTGACTTATCGCCGCTTCTTTCGGCAACCAACGACATTCGAGTGGGCGGCGCTGAGAGCAGAAGAGGAGGCCGAAGAGGAATCGGAAGGAGAATTGAGGAGAGAGGTCGGGGAAGCAGCGACCCGATTGGCCGAGGACGAGGAAGAAGAGCGCGAAGTTGAAGAAGAAGAAGAAGAAGAAGAAGAAGAACCAGAAGAGGAGACTTCAGAGGAAGAGGAGGAAGCCTATAGTGAGTACAGTGAGGGCAAGCAAAGTGAGGAGGAGGACGAAGACGACGAAGAAGTGGAAAGCGGAGACGACCAGGCGCCAACGCGCGACGACGAGCTCGAGTGGGTGCCAGGACCGGATCGACGAGAGAACCCGTAGCGGCCAGAGATTCCCCCGCTTCCATCGCATTGTCCGTTTTCAAGAACTTCCCTACGACCGCACTGCGATCCGGCGCTTCATACCCGAGCTTACGATGGAGCTGCCCCGCCCTCCCTCAAACGCGTATCGCCTTCCCTTCCCCCTTCCGATTAATTACTGATGCAACAGGTAATGGACGCGTGTCGCGGCGACGGCACGAGAAAGATCCCGTCCTTGGATCGTCGAGAGCCCAATTTGAGGAACTAATAGAAGAGCAGTGTTGCCACGTTGGATGACGTCCACACTCAATAGAACGGTAAGTGGCATAAAGAGAAGTGCTCCGCGTGTAGGTCGATTAGAGAAATCGACACGTGTCAACAAGCAAGCAGGAGCTTGCTAATATTGGAACCCGCTGGACGTCACATATGTGACGAACCAGTTTCAGTAACGCGCGATTTTCTGCGCGGTTGCAACGAGAGGTCCTAAGCTGGGAAGATTGGGCTAATTACGAGAGATCGGGATCGGTGGAGAATTACATCAGTGTCCTCGCTTTTTTGTCCTTTTCGTCGCTTCTTTTTTTTTGAATAGCTGGGCATGGAGCTGGGTGTGTCTTGGGACGGCCGGTTGATTGGTTGGTCGGATAAATGTCTGGCGCGTTGCTGCGCGCGCACGCGATTAATAAATTTTGACGCCGCTTCTTTTGGTTCGATTTCAGTTTTTTGGGCGCGGACATCACGCGGGAAATTGCTTCGTTCTTTTTGAATTTCCCTTTGAATCTCTTTCGAATTTTGTCAAGGCCCCCCCCCTGATGGCTCTCGGAATTTTGGACTTTCCTTCTGGAATTTGTGTTTTTTGCTTTTTCGCAATAGATAGGAATTTAGGAATTCAATAATTAGGATTTTTTCAGCAGCGCAGCGCCATTTGTTTACGCGCTTCTTCATGCGGCTGCAACGACACTCTGATTAGTGGACGCCCTTAATCGTATGTGTAACTGTAATTTTGGGCGGGCGCCATTGTAACTGTATCTTTCTTCTTGCACTTCGTCTTTCCCGCCCTCCCTCTCTTTCTTTTGCTGAAATTTTGTGAGCCACGGCTTGCATGCGCGGATCGATGCGTGGAGAAGGGTTGCGTCCCCTACGCCGCCGCCGATCATGCAGAACGCAGGCGCTCCCTCCCTAATCCTCACTCTAAGTCCTGGTAATTCCGTGTTCTTCGCGCATGCATGCACGCTATAAATTTCGGTTGCGCGATTAGTCGGCTCTCTTAACCCGTTGTTGGAAGCTTGGGGTTGCGCGATCAGGAAGGGTCGGCACACGAGCGAAGTAAGAGGTGAGTAGAGTAGGAGTTGGGCGACCCGACGGGCTGGTGCCGAACGTGCGAGATTGACGTGGGCCACGACGGACTGTGGGTACGGGCGAATCCGACGGGTGCGGGAGGACTAAGCGGGGTGACAACTTCGTGGGTTGGTGCGTGACGACGGACTGTCCGCATCGGGGAGAGAGAGAGAAGGAGAGAGTTGAGGTCGATGGACGCGGATTTGCTGTTGCTTTGTCTCTTTCCCCTCTTCATCTGTGTATATACATTTTGATTGTGGCTCCGGGCGGTTTGGCCGTTCTTATTTTCGCTTCGGCTTTCTGAAATCTCGGCTTGGATTTTTGCTCACACTTGTCTTTGCTACGATTATCGAATGTATGGATGTATGGATGTGTGGACGTTATGCCTGCTTGTCTATCTTTTTGCTGAAAGTCCTTGTCCTTGCTTTTTGTTTCTTTCGAATCCTTGCCCACACCTG